ACTCATCCTTCCAGTCTCCTATCCAAAGATTACCTGTTCTTTTGTCGATGATCATCCCCTCCATCCAGTGCCGAGGTAACAAATGATTGGAGCTCTGCCTCGACTCCCGATATGTCTTCATGGCGCTGTGCGTAATAAGGACCAGTGATATCTTCAGCTTGTTTAAAAGATCGAGTTATAGATCGATGATTGTTCGTCGGAGGTGCATAGGACTGACTCCCGATCAGGCGTAATAGTTGGTTTAGGCGTTAGGCCTATGAGTATGAACCTTCTTGGATATGGTGCAAGAACGATATTTATTACTTTCATTGGTATACTCTTTACCCACAGTGAAGAATGTGGTTTTTCGTAGTGTTGATTACTAACAAAGCAAGTGTGCTGAATTGTGACTACTTTGTACATCGCAGTAATGAAATGAACGACAAGGTATAGTTTGTTTCTTTTAATATACTGTAACCCTCTGTAATTTAAAGTTATTTAATCGTGCTGCGGTAAACGTGATGTCAGATACGAATAATTTTAGAAACAATACATTACCGAACAAGTTTCCTTGTTGTTTTTACGAGATTATATTACACAAATTCAGTTTATACCATAATATTATTTTGATAGATGCGGTTAAAATTCATTTTACCTTTCTTCTTAAACGTTTTACGCTAGTAGAAGTCGTCATTGGGGAGAAATACGAGAGAAAATATTTATTTTAAGAGGCACTTGTGGCGTCTATTTCGGTGATATCGCATTTCTTAACATTTATTGAAAAACAGAAATCTTGTGTGTAATTCCGGAAGGTAAAACAGGAACCGAGTTACAATGCCTCAAACGCGGGAGTAAGAGTGGTATTTTCATTTGCAGGTATGGTCACGTGGTTTATGAATGAAAGTTTGCGTAACCACGAAGATAATTTTTCTGTTTGAAAACGAGAACACTGCCTACCCGAGAGAGAAAGCAAGATTATAGAAAGAAGAGGTAGAGAGAAGTTTATTTGAGGTAGGGAAGTGGCTGACGTAGAAGCTTTTAATAACTTTTACCACGCAGTTATACTTAATCATTCAGTGCTGTAGCCATGAACAACCACCCTGTTATTCCATGAGAATGCTGTAGTATGTACTTGGGGACGGTGGGAGGTTATGCATTCTAAACGCATCCCCAATGTTCCCCCCCCCTCACACCCTCACTCGTAAATAAACAACCTGACCTGACTGTGGTCTATGCAGTTCATATATGACTACCGCCACCATCTTTACTTCCACCAGCTCATACTTCTACTACAGTGTTTCTCACTACACCATACCGCCATAGTCAGCAATATTTCACGGGGGTAAATCCCCGGAACTTGAACACCAAACTAACATCACCCCTTTCCCCCGCAAGCACATCAGCATTAAAGCTTAGATTATCATCCCCTGCAAACATGTGAATTCCGTGCTGGATTTAAACGTTCATCAGGACTTACAACGCCGACAGGAATTTATGTTTCCAGCTTCTTGCTTCTCGATTGTTTGGACCGCTGTGCCGTATGCACCCACAATTTGAATTATGGACCTAGCACTTTTCGTCTTAGTGAGATTTCAGGTTCTCAGGGAGGAGAGTATGAACGTGATAGCCTTCTGGGTTATCGTACTATGTATTCTCGTTGTCCACTGACGCTGCCGAGGCGCCTACTGCACTTATCGCCCTGATGATGGAGACAGTATGCACCGCTGAAACATCGGTGAAATTCTACGAGACTACATGATAACCCAGAAGGCCGTCACCTTCATTTCTTGTTTAAGATGGCTGTCTTCTGGGTTGTAGCGCCGTATAGTCTGGTAGAAGTTTCGCAACGTTTCAGAGATCATCGCTGACTCCATCATTAGGGCGATGAGTAAGTCAGCTTACTCATCTTTGGACTCACCACCGTGAAAACCTCAAATACTATTTATCGTCGTGTTCAACATGATACACTAAAAACCTATGGTGAAGAATCTAAATATCGTTGATTGGGGTTGTCTCGTCCTGCCTACGTAACTTTTTCCACATCCTATTGTCATCTGACTATCTTATGGATCCATGGAATGTAATAAATTATTATTATTATTGTTATTATTATTATAAACGAGTCTTTCTCTATCTTAACTTAGTTATATCTACCATACAGATGTAGACAGTAAGTGCTTCCGAACAAATGTTAAGCACCCGCAAGATTGCATGGTGTCTCAGCCTAGAATACATCTTCACAAGTGCGAACGCGTACCCTAGAAAGCTTCTAGATGGTTTTATCGTTAACCAAGAAATTAAGAGAGGAGTGTTTTACAACTTTTAATCTGCATTAATGTGTGGGCGTACGCGAAAGCATAAGTTAAAATTTTGTCACTCACGTGTTGCGAATGAAATCGATCTTTGAAATGAATATTATTATTGCTCTCGATCAAATGTCTTTTTAACCTAATTCCTCCAAAGAGAAAGAGGGGTCGCTGTAAGATGTTATCAATCACCATCAGGGGACGATTGGTTTTACTTCTGTTAGTTCTTCCAATTCTGGTAATAGAATAGGACACGTTCCTCCACCTGGAGACCACGATAAAATTGAATTAAGTACAGAACATATATACCTCCGCCAGTGTTCCAATGGAGATTTAATCTTAGAATGAGGCTCTCTAGGAAGTGGGGGGAAGTTCTAAGACTGCAAAGAACGTGTTCCATTAGCTGGAAACCTGTAAAGTAAATTTTACCTTATAACTAACTTCTGTCTTTTAGAGAATTACTGCATCATTCTGTAAATTTCAGGTGTTTGAAGGAACAAATTGTCACCTAAATGAGACTCTGACTGAATAAGTACATAATTACGTAGCCAGAGTCCAAATACACTGTTCTTGAAGAATGATGTTTTCGTTCGCAAATTAGTATCTGTGGTTATGTTGCACATCTTCACTAAGTATCGTCGAATTGGTGCATAAGGGGGTTGTTAAAACGGCAATGAGTGTGTAATTCGGGAAGTATGCTCTCTGATTCCGATTAGGACTGACTATGTGACTGAGATGTATCGCAGTTTTCGTCTATCTCTACAGCCAGATGCTGGGATAATCCATTAAAATAGGTCACTAGCGATTATTTCTCCGTGCCTCATTCATAAACATTCTTCCATTATTGGTGTGTCACTGCGACCATTTTCTTTACAGTCGGTCGGATATAAACTTGGAAATCGTTATTCCTGTCTAAGCATTTATTGAGCTCGGGTTCAGGCGGAAAATTCAAACGTCTTTTCCGTAAGGTTGGCCAACTGATGACGCACTTCAACGTTGGGTGGTGGAAAACTCATGCAGGGCTGTTTTTATTTTCTTTGTGTTTTCTGTTTAGGAAATTAAATGCAGTTTTTTTAGAACTTGATTGAAGAAGAAATTTGATACGTATGATTTGAGGTTTTCACAGCGATTCCGCCTTGATGACGGAGACAGTATGATCCCTGAAACGTTGGTAAACATCGACCAGACTACACAGCTCAACAAACCAGAATACAAAAATCTTCAAATTTGATACGGTTTAAAAAGGCATCAGTATCCAAATGTGTCTGAAATATGCCCTTCTTCTTCCATATTCTAATGTTACTAGAAAATTATCTGAGTGAAACTAGGTCATAACTAGTGTTAATAGATTCTTAGGTTAGGATTTGCGGTTTTAACGGCGGTGAGTCAGAAGACAGCCATCTTAAGATTCTTAGGTTACCTGACTACGCTGTTTCAATGTAATAAGTTATACAAGATATAAGATAAGGTTTCTCGTAGAATTCCTCAGTTTGTTAAGGGAAAATTCGAATAGAACGTTTAATTAGGAGACAGCCATCTCACTATATACACAATTTTCTGGAGAGCGCAAAAATGAAGCTGACTTCGCGTTATGGATAAAGTCTTGATGCAAGGAATGTCTTGACACTTAACATCTGAGTCAGCACTCACAAAGAGAAAAAGACTTCGCTGTACAACACTTTGACATCTTAACGTAATTAAAACAAATGCGAGATTTCATTCGTTGTTTCTATTTTTAACAAAAAATTAAAATTATGAAACTCGACTGACAGTTTACTGGCCAAATGTGTAGCTGTGTGTGATGCTGGATGCTCTTACGTGGAATCATATTGTGACGTCACTCAATACGCTGCCTGTAACTGTAGCTGGAACCTATCTTCAACCCTTTTATTTAATATTTACACACAATTTTCTGATAACCATGTGAAACACTGTACCAGTAATTACTTGTATTTAAATTTAATTTTACAGGTTAGGTAACTTCCACTATGAAACACGACCCGTGGCCTTCAGCTTCTCTCTTGTTATAAAGCCCTTAGAGGGATGTAAATTGACTGTGGTACTAGGTATGACGTCAGAATAACTTAAGTTAACGAAGTCTTAATGAATATCAATGAGCTTTAATTGTGTATAAATACTATATTCACATACTTACATACACTCACAGACGTTGTAAATTAATGCATCGCATTCACTGAAGTGACCTTAGGTATAATTTTTATTTCCTCGGTAGGCGTGCGCATCTAAGGGTAAATTACCCCTCTGTTAGTAAAAGGCAATGCAGACGTAGAAGCTGTCATCTTGTCTATTAAATACGTTGAAGTGTACGTTTCGCAACTTCGTTAAAGACGAAATTTAATATGGCTTGAAAAGGCACCAGGGTTCATTTCTGATACGTGCTCATTTCCTTACTATGCTTCTTATTGCTGTTACGCAAAATGTTCTAAGGGTAACTAGGTTACAGTTTGAAACAAACGGGATTTTACTAATTGTTAAATTCTTTGGTAAAATAGACCGTGAAGGGTCGAATTTTTGGATGTCATGTTACGAGTAGGAATAACTGAAATAATTGGCATTTTTGCTACATTATGAACTTCTTCCGAAGAGAAAAATATGAAGTCAAACTTCGAAGATTAACGACTAATGAGACTGGTAAAGTTGAAAGTTTGTTTCTAATACGATTATGCAAAGGCTAATGGATAAACTGAGGGAAGTATTCAAGCATGATTAACTGCACGTAAGATGAGCTCTACATATTCTGGCGAGACATAACTCTGCTGATATTCCTCGGTCTTGACGTGAGAAAGTTTTCCAGTTTAGCGAGTTAAATACGTTTATATGCAATTAGAATTAGAACATTGCAGATGGGTTACTTCTTCCATTCTGTCAGATTTATTATCATCAGAAATGATATATGTGAGTTTCGTAAAGAAGTTAATTGAATAATTATGAGTAATGTTATTTATTTACGCCACCAGGAAATATTATAATCAGATAAAGTGGCAATGATTGTTTCTTGAAGGATGTAGTAAGTATATTGATTTCATGGTTGAAGACGTGAAGATCACAAATTGCCTGAAGTCATCGGTTTTAATAAGTCGTAAGCTAAACGTGTTACGTATTGAACACATATCTGAATGCAAGTATAGCATACTGAGTCTTATATCTGTAATTATTACTGTCTTTAATTTCTTCCACTAACGAGTAAAAGAATTATAGAGGATCAGCTGAAGATATTAGGTCACACTGCACGCACTATAGTTCTCTGGCAGTAATTATTCATTAACCTAGAATAATCTAAATTAACATAACGTAACCTAATACCGAAAATTAAAAAATTCAAATTATTAGAATTTTTGAAAATATTGAAAATTCTGAAAATTTTGAAATTACGCTGCAGTACCACTGCTGGTACTTTGCCATTGAACTGATAAATTCAAACTTCTTCTTGAATAATCTGGCGTGAAACTGTGCATAGGAGTTAACTGGTTAGGGATGTGGACCAGTGACGGGTTTTATAGATCACTTTAATTAACCTTCGGGAATTTCTTAAAGAGATGAGCAATTACTAACTATTCAAGACGAATTCTGCTCTTCGTTGTATGCCATATCCAACAATATATGTATAAATTGCTGTTGTAGCAGACACAAAATTCGCTTGTGTTTTCTTCTGTATCTTGAAACAAATTTGAATGTGTTCTAATTGGTGATTGTTTCAGAAACAACGGAGGACCCGGGTCTTTATCTGTCTGGCTGAGTGCGCTGCTGGGCGGCCTATCCATGCTGGCGAAGGAGACGGGTATCACCGTATTGCTGGTCAATCTCGCTTACGATCTGTATAGATCTTGGCATTTCATCAAGCGGCAAGTATATTTTAAGATTTCTTCGCATGTGTGCATTTAATGTAGAAGATAGAACTTTTCAACTGAATGTATTTGTTGTTTGGTTTTGTCATCCCTTCTGAACCCGTAATTCTCCTTCGGTCGCTGTTGCTAAGTTGAATCGAGTGTTGCGCACAAGTGGTCCCGCTCGAGAAATTCTTCGTTGTTATTGGGTGGAGGAATGTCGTTTACTAATGCACACATTTCAACACAGCAAATGCGTATTTACAGCGCGTAGTCACATCACAAACGCACTCCAACCTTTATTAATTACAGTCACCACTGTTTCTAGCCAAAGTTCTTACCACACACCCTTACCATTTACTCCTCTGTTTGAACGTGTGGACCTGCTTTCTAATGTCGTTAGGAGAATTTGCAATAATTTTCTATTAGTTGCTTTGGAAGGTCGTCCTCTGTTTATTAGTAAGTGTGGTTTGCAATTTGCTAATGGTCAGGAAGTCATTCTGTCAACACATTGAATAAATTTGGTTTTATGTTGCAGTAAAGGACTATATTTTGTTTCTACTTCTGTTAATAAGATTTCGTTTCTTTTATACTTCATCTAAGTGTACAACACTGTCATGAATTTCATCTCAGCGGCAGTTAACGGGTTTTGTCCACGCATTCGTTGTCAAGTTTGAGTTCCAAAATAAAAGTCTCTGTAAAACTAATGCATTATACGTGTTCATCATAGCGTATTTCTTAGCGCTTGATAATTTAAAAATCGTGTTGATACGATTAAAAACGGTATAAAAAAAGTTAATTCTAATGCCACTAGTAATTATGGCTGAAATAGCTTAATAGTATTGATTCTAATTTAGTTTTAAGTAAGGTGTCTAACTTAAGGATTTATCAACATCGTCACTGATTAAAACTATTCATTGTGTTCTTTTCGAACGTCCCGGGTATAGTCCAACATTCGGTTTAAATTTATACAGTGCCTTCGGAAATCGCCCCCAAATCTGCAGGCCTTTGTTTTGACAGATTTTTCAATATTGTGTTTATATTTGTTATTATTCATAGTCATTAAGTGACTCATTTTAATAAGGTTTGTCTATAGTCTCAGGTACTTTGCAGTGGTCAATTAATAAAACAGTAGTAGAAGTTGTGGTAATGTGTAATGTTACCTCACTGACAATTAACAAGTTAAACGCTCATGATTTCAGCCTTTTCCGTTGTTTATGACGTTCCAAATAGCCTGCCCAAATCTGAGGTCCTGTGTAGTATTTCGTAACATACTGTTTAGTTACAGTGGGGGACGTTATACCCCCGCCCAACCTCACAAAGCTGGAGAACTACCCTTGTAAGCTGCCCGCAACTGCTTATTCGCGGTTACCCTCCATACCTGGAGGATTTGTCCTTCATCCTCAATCTGAGGACAAGCCTTGCCACGCGCTTCACACGGCATGATTCAGTTGCATGTTTAAAATACGGGGATATTTATCGACTGAAATGTGTAATAGACCAGTACTAAATGTATGCATACATGGAAAAGTTGTCGCCGAGTTTGTTATTTTCTTCATGATTTGGTTCAAATGTGAGCTCAAACGGCGAGAAGCACAGAGATGTAGAGAAAGGTTGAAGCTTGTTTTGAGTTCAATGTCAGATCCCGGAGAAATGCTGTTAAAAGATGAGAGATCTGAGGTTCTTACGGCGATGAATTTTCCGACCTTGGTCTTGTGGTTACGAGCGGTTACAAACGTCTCGGGCAGCACGACGTCACAGCCCAAAAGATCACAGTCGAACTTTCGTAAGGGCTAATGTATCTCATAAATATCGAGTGTTTGGCGGGCAGTAGGCGCTAAGCATACAAGTCACTAATGAGCGTCATTTCTTTCAGGACTGTAGTTGAGGTCAGATGGAATGAAGAGACTGTCCACTTCTCCCGACGGGCAGCAAAAGTTCTAATGTCGGTGAGTATTCATTGCACTGTCAGCAAACTGATAGTAAAACCTAAAATATCAATTCCGGTAACACCAAACCCCAATGTAGGCTTCGACCGTGAAAGAACCATTTCCATAAGTCCTTCATTCTCGAAACACGTTCCTCTAAAATCTGTCTAAATTTATCAAAAATGCCCTTTTCTCACTTCCAGTTATTTGCTTTTCAACGGGTTTTACTATTAAAGCATTGTACAACAGTGTTACAACTACAGTGTCATTTAGGCAGTTTGTCGGTCGGTCAGACTGCCAGATAGCCGGTCAGTTAGTCACTAAATCAGTGACCCAGTCAGCCAGTATTCACGCACTGAGTTTATGGGTCTGAACCTTCAGTAACGCATTATAATTTTATGAAGTGAACATTGATTATTATAACATATTTTTTAATATTTGTATCTTCCCCTTAAAGCGAGTAGAAATGAATTCGTATACACACTTTTAAAGTTCCCACTAATCTATGAATATGCCACTCAGGCTGTTACGAATCTCTCATGGTTTAAAGTATCTCATCACATAGTGTCAGAATATCCTGAAAAGAAACTTTACTTTCTGCAAGAGGCTTTCACAACATCACACCTTCTTTATGTGGCAAGATTTCTTGAAGCTTCCTCTCCAGTTTCCAGAAAAAAAATATCTCTTTCTCGTTTATGCCTCTTACAGCGCATATATCCTGTATTATTAGTCAATCAGTCCATTCACTGATATGACAGGCAGCTTGTCGATACTGAAGCTCATGTACAATGAATAGAAACGTCCATTTCATACAGTTTATAAGGAATGGTAACATTCATGGTTAAGTATATCCAACTAGCAAAACTAGACGCTGTGTAATCTTGCTGCTTTTCAGTGCAGGACTCTGCGAGTGACAGAATAAAGGAAAACGCGTCATGTAGCACGTAGAAACCAGACAGATTACATGTCATTTATGATCGTCATTTTCGTCATTACCATAATCGCCGGCAATGCCATCAGCTCCCTGGTTGGCATTATTGTCATTATTAAGTTATTATTATTATTATTATTCATCGTCGTCGTCATCATCATCATCAGTGAACTGAATTGATTTGTACAATTTTACATGGCATCGGCTTATAAGCCGGAGTGAAACTTTGTCCCCGTGGCTTCTGAAAATATGCCCATAAGAAGATTTCTGTCTTCTGGGTTGTTGCGCTGTGTAGTCTGGTCGATGTTAGCCAACGTTTCAGAGGTCATACTGCCTCCGACATCAGGGCGATGAGTATGAAGATTTCTGTCTTCTGGGTTGTTGCGCTGTGTAGTCTGGTCGATGTTAACCAATGTTTCAGAGGTCATACTGCCTCCGTCATCAGGGCGATGAATGTGCCAATTAGCACCAAAGGTTTGAGAAGATAAGACGATGATGATTATGCTGATGAAGAAAATAAAAGTATAAGAAAGGGATTAAATTCGATTAACGCTTTAATGAAGAATTGTTGCTGGATTACGCGAAAAGTGGAATGGAGGAACGGAGAAAAAGGACTTCGAAGTGTATTTTATGGTTCTGTATCAGATTCATCTGCAGAACTGAGGAAATCAATGAAGAATCCAGCCGTGAAATTCGTTTTAGAGAGAGAGAGAGGGCCTGCTACCAGAGAAGGTTATTAACCCTTGAAATTTACCGCTCTGAAATAAGAAAAGACTAACAGAAGCAACTACATCTCCGAACTCCGTACGGGCTTCGTTGTGGGGTAACGGAAGCCAACTTTTTTCCTGAGACGTTGGTGGTAACATTAATAAGAAACAGATCTATCGGTTGCACCAAACGCGTTAATTTTATTTAGTTTTCTAATGTATGGTTATGTGATCTGCCGGATACAATTTTACACTGTTTTAAACATACATATAGGAACATCGAAGAAAGTTGTTACTAGAAAATTATAGATGGCCGGGTATTTAAGGTTTTGGAATTGTGCACTAGGAGAACAAGTAAAGCAGGGGGATAGGGGGTAAAGGACGAGCAGTGATTCCCAATTTCAAACCGCGACCGTCGTATAATTACAGACTGTGCTCGTGCTGATTAGTCTCTGTGCCGTCGTCTGTGGTATGAGACACTCTGGAGGTACGTTCTGTGACGTGGTGTATTGTATGAAAACGTAGCCTGAGGCGCGTCCTGTGTACAGGTTAATTAACTCGTGTTGACAGATCCTGTTTTAGGACTTTCTGTAGTAAGATACGTTCTCCTGATCGTACGAGTAAAGAGCCGTGGTTCAGTTATCGCTTCTATGCTTAACTTCTATACTAAGGACGGCGATAAATTGTAAATCAGAATACGATCTGAATACAGTGTTCAAAATCTGATCAATTAGACCCAAAGGGAGAAATATCAGTATTCTGGATTCCAAGTATCTTTTGCGTTATCACGCTCAGTAAACCTAATTTGAAGTCATGTCAGTGTGATACGACACTGAAATTCTAGAACATCTAACCATTTAAGAATCAGGGTAACTATATGTACCGCCTGTTTCAACCATCAGTAACTCTGCACAGATTATTAATCGAAACAACGTAAACCAACTGTTCATTGTTTTCGAGACGTGTTTGGCTTCTTTGATTTAGGAACTGAATTTAATGGTATTTAGGCAGTCTATGGCTTCGAAAAATTAACTCAGCTATGAAGAAGTATCATTTTATTTCGATCAAAATATTTCACAACTCCATACCGTTAATCTACAAAAAAGGGAATAAGAAAGTGAATTGTGCTGGATGAAGTTTATTTCTTGATAAGAAGTTATAGCAATTAAAAACGCTATTATTTTCTTTTATAAGTAACAAGTAAACCCTATATTTTTTAATTAAGGCGAAGCTGTGCTTAGAAACTTATGTTCGTAAGTAATTCTCGAGTGACCTTTTGATAAATATATAATTTGCGTGAATTAGCTCAGGGAATTTCAAGTTTACGCTCTTTCTTTGAAAAAAGTGTTAATTAAACTCTGTTACAACGCCTGGAGTTTTGAAGTGGCGTAATTTGCATAGCCGCGGAAAGTGACATTTGATCTTAAATAATGAACTGTATAGGACATAGTTGTACGAC